GTCTGATTCACAATTCACGAGTCGCAGTGCCACGTTCCTCCCGTATTTCACACGCTTTTCTCAATCTGTAATCGGGTATCCTGGTTTTTTCCTCGAGTCAACTGGTAATTTGAAACCCATATAAATTTCATGAAAGGTGACTAAACTTTTATTAAGCCCCCTTTTGGCCCCCATTTTCGGGAAAAATTAATATGTGGAATAGTATTTTTTTTTTTTTTAAAAATGAGTGGTTGAAATAGAAGGAAAAATTTTTAATTTACGTGTAATATTATTTATGAAAGATTGTGTGATTAAAAATAGGAGAAAGAAAAATAAGAAGTAATAGAATAAAAATTAATGGAAGTGAAACAGAGGCTAAATTTTAATCTAAACTCTAAATTTTTAAATTTGTCTCAATAAACTTCATTTTAGTTTACAACGGGCCTCCAATGGACCAACATAGAATAATATTGAGCTAAGATCTAGAGTAGAGTCTAACCTCAACTCTTTAGAGCTAGTCTTGCCTTTTATAATAAAACAAAGCTGCTACAAATACATTTTAATGTACATTATGGGTTATATTCTTTCAAATAGCATGATCTACACTTTTGATTTTAGAGATATGCTAGGGGTACATAATTTTTGGTATATAAGGGTGTCCACCCTTTCACACAAGTGGGGCCCACTCGAATATTGGACACCCTTATATATAAAAAATTATGTACAATAATCTTTATCCTTGATTTTATCCCCACTTTTTTCCATCAATGCATATATCCCCTCCACATGGGGGAAATGTCATGCAATATGCAATTAGCAATATTCATAATAAAATTGCTAGCCTCCAATAATAAAATCGTCCAGAGCTAGTCGTGAGATTATCACGAGCCAAGGATTGAAGAAGTTATGTAGGCATATAATTACCAATGACTTACAACTAGCCTACAATGGAGCCCCAACACAGGATAATCTTAAGCTTTCCCCCAACTACTTATAGGTAACCTAGACATTTGAGAATTATGGATGAGGGCCTAAAAGGCTTGCAAACTACCAAGGCAACATCTATGATAATCGCGAGCCAATGCTATGAGGGTTTGCAAACGTCTCGAATCACCAAGGACTATAGTTGGCCCCTATCCTTATCATTAGAAAATCATTAGACGAGGATTAAACGACCTTTGAATTGTAAAGGGCCTCTCACATTTTTTCGAGGCACCAATCCACATATATGAGGCACGAACTTATCTTAAGAGTTTGAATGTGGTAGTTCTGGTGAGATAATCGAATATATTAGGATGAGATGACAGCTTGTCAACTTTTATGGCCATGAAAAGTGTATTTCAATTATAAATGCAGTTGTGAAATCATGGCTCGATTGTATTAGAGTCTGTTTCACATGCAATTTCACTTGGGTCCTCATCTTTTGCACAATTGAAGTTTAAGTTCTGTTGACCTCAAAAGGTGTTGCCAACAAATGCCGGACCCACCCGCACACACGTGAGCGAAAGTCCAACACACTTAAGACACGTGGACGATCTAAAACGGACGGATCGAGGGCGTGGGAGTAGCTCAACGGCACGGGACGAGAACGTTCGAAATCCGACAGGATGTTCGTAGACTGATTGTACAATAATTACCACTCGATGTTTGTAAACGTGTATCTGAATATGTATGAACTCGCCTGTGTTGCAAGATAATAAGAAAGAGTGAGTTGAGTAAAGTATGGTTTCTTGTATTGATTCTTGCATTAGCCTTTGTATGGGATACATGGGGGAGTATTTATGGTGTCACAAGTTAGATCGTGACCTTTGGTTTGGGGTACACGTGGCCTCATCCGGTTAATTTACACGTCAAATTGTATGCATCAGCCGCACCTAGCCTGCTATACATTTATTGATTGACAGAGCCGCCTTTACTAATGACAAGACTTAATATTATACTCATAACAAACATCTTATCAATCATTCAAGTAAGATCTTTGTGCAAATGATCTCTTGGGAGAAGCATCTATGGAAGATGCTGCTTTGTGATTCGGAGGTTGCTACCTCGGCTACAGAGCTTCGGCTAATAGGACCTCGTCCACCTTCAAAGGGCCTCGGCATATGGGCTTCAGAAGCTCCTCAAGAGGCAATGATAGATGGGTCTTGGTATATATGGGCCTAGGCTATACAAATCACCTCAGTTTGTGGGCCTCGACTATGCAAATCACCTCGACTCAATGCCACGTGGTTCGGCATGAATTGGTTGTGGGCCCCGGTGGGTTACCCAAGTGTGCAAACATGTAACAATAGTCCCCCAAGTCCAAGTATAGTCATTTATGTAATGTGAGGACTTTGATGAAGTAAGGCAGG